GGTGTGTTCAGTTGGTTTTATGTGGCCTGATGTAATTTATAAGACATATATGGACAAGTAAATAGTAGTAACAAATATTTTGTTGCAGTCATTTTAATTCCACTTTTGTGTATCACCACTATGGTTGTAACTGTGTGTGAAAAAGTTGTTTTTCACTTTCTTTTTGAAAGTGGAAACATAGTATTGGTCTTTGTGTCACTTTAGTTTCATCAAGGCAACAGAGGACATATGTAATTTGTCTAATGTTTTGCTGTTTTTTGGTTTTGCCGTTGCTGTTCTTAACCCTTGTGGTTTGCTGCTGTTGTCTGTGTGCGTCTTTCTGAGAGACACGTGCAGGTAATTCTGTGCACATGTGCTTCTTCTCTCTGCAAATGGCAAATGAAAGCATCTTGACTCCTGATAGATGCTGGCTCCTCCTCTCCCCCTCCTCCTCAATGCTCTGAGCCCCCATCTACAGGCCATTAAAGAAACTTTATCTTAGGCTGGCCTTTTTACACAACTAGTTGCAGGAAGCACAAAGCAATTAAAAAATAATCAAGGTCTCATGCAACACATTAGTAACAGTTTATTTCACTAAAGTTAGGGCCACACTAGATTTTAAATTAACTATGATAGTGGCTTCAGAACCCCTTTCTGTCAGCAGCTCTACACAAAAACATTTATATGTAACATTACAGAAATAGCAGTATTGTACTCCTGACTAATCTGATCACTGATATATATGTTGGGGTCCCTTGTGACAAGTCAAACTATAGTTTAACTGACCATAAAAGCACAAATGCTTGGATTAGTCTCAGCCAGCATTAATCCTGGAGTTTGATGATTTGCTGGCGGAGAAACATCTAATCATCTATTTTATTTTTATTTTTAGCCATATATTATATATTATAGTATAGCCATTTTTAAACTGCCTTTCAATAACTATGTTAACTATGAGTTATAAGTAACTATCTTACCATGTAGTAACTATAGTAACTAAGTTACCATGTAGTTACTATGATAATTAGTTAGTTAGTTATTCAGGACCTTCTGGACATTTCTTGATAAAAGCTTTAAGACGTGGTTAACAAGATCCAGCATCTGCAGCCATGCTAGCAGCTCTGTGAGGCTGCACTTAGGCTGCGCTACCATGATCACAATGTCAACGCTAACATGTGGATGTTTAGCAGGCATAATGTTCACCATGTCCAAAATCTTTAATTTAGCGTGTTAGCATGCCAAATGTTTGTTAATTAACATAAACACAAAGTGCCGCTGAGTCTGAGAATGCTATTAGCTTTCTTGGTATTTGGTCATAATTCAAAGTATTGGACATATTTATATTTTGACCTGATGGTGGCGCTAGATGAAGCATTAGGAGATCAAGTTTACATTTAATTCTGAGGGAAACGTAAGTGTCTTTGGCAGGTTACATGGCAATCGATCCAGTAGTGGAGACATTTCACTCAAATCCTGTGAACCTCGTGGTGGCACTAGAGGAAAGGTCAGGGGATCACCAAAGTCAGTAGGATCCATCCTCTGAGGACCATGAATATCTGTAGGAAAATGTCATGATATTGCTGTTAAATATTTCAGTCTGGAACAAAGTTGTAAAGTGCCCATCGACCTAAATTTGCATCTCTATAGCCACGCTGCTAGCATGAGTAAAACAAAGAAAACCCATTACATGTACTACAGTGTTACTAGAGTTATAGGTGAGAATCCACCATGTCAGCTTGTTTACTTTTCCCCCGATCATTCGATAAAGAAAGGGAGACAGTCAGAAGTGCAGAAGCCTTGATCCGGTTTCAAACCCGTGGCATAATAATTTTACTGTAGGGACCCTGAGGCCTGCAGAGCCAGCTGGAGGCCAGAGACAGAGGCCTCTTTGTGTAGATTCTCTGTGTAATGATGAACAACATGTTCTGTACAGTCCTGGAGCTCCTTTCATGTACATCACACCTCCAGTGATGTTTTGAAAAAGTCCACAATAGTGAAAAGTTCCCAGAACTGGGGGATGTTATATTTCACGCATGAGCAGCCAGTGTGGGATCGGCCAAGTAGCTTCATGAAATTTAATGAAGCTAATTTTTTGAGCAGAGAATAATGGGCTTGAAATTATTGTAAACAGGCCTTATAGCCTGTTAATTAGCAATGGTAATTAAAGTCACATTAGTCTTGAAGCTTTGGAACAACCTGAGGAGTTTTTTTCCTGTCGCCTTCCAGATATCCCACTCTGTTCAGCTTCCGTCCTCTCTTCCCCCCCCAGTTTTTTTAATTGTTCTTTTTGCCTTCGGCTCTCATTTACTTCAAATTGTCCTGCTCTGTCCACTTTGCAGCAGGACGTAGGAAGTATTAGAGCAGAGTAGAGAGAAAAGAGATCATTAGAGTAGAACAAAGAGGACGTAGCAGCGTAACAGAGCGAAACAGAAGAGAGATAAGTAGAGCAGAAAAAACTCATAAAGTGGGGAAAAAACAGAGCAGAACCTGACAGAAGGAGGCATCATTTACTATCAGTCACTGTGTCATTGGTAGGAAAAGACTCAGAAACGTGACAATAAAAACAATTAGATGAGCACTCCGCCCAAGTCGTGCTCAATGAAGGACTTAAAGACAAGATATCTCCACTTCCGCTTCTTTAATTGAAAACACAAGTCCCACTCTCAAAATTCTCCAACTTTATGGTAGTGCAAAAGTATCCCTTCAATCAATAGGTTCTTTCAAAGTTATCAACACTCCAGAATGTTTTATAGATAGGTACATCAGATCATAAAGTGATAAGAAACAGGGTACGGGATGTTTTAGTTCTACGCCCAATTGAACACAACAGCTTTTTGCAGTTAACCTGTATTTATGTTGGTTTTGTCTGACAATGTGATCATAAAATAATGATTTTTATCTGCAGCTCCACGGCTTGGGAAGTACTGCTTGGTTAGGAAGTATTTCAGAATTACAAGCTTCAGAGAAATGAGCTGCTCTGGCAAAGACAAACCCAGGTGCTATGGTTTGATGAGTGGGTGTGTGCTGTGTCAGGCGTGGGGATGTACTTGTATGTGCATGAGCAGGCAAAGAAAAAGATAGGCAAGAAAAATGGTTTGGTGGCTGTTATATGAAAAGAAAGAAAAATAAGTCAGCTGTCAAATGGATGTAAAAAATGCTAAATCATTTTCAAAATATTCAAAACATTTAGTTTTTAATGCAAATTTGTATGTTGCAAATGTTTTCAGAGGAAGGAAATAAACACAAGAAATTTGCTAGGCCTGAAAAATACACTCGTTGTGTTTTGGTGTGAAATATTAAATGTTCAGAATGTTTAAAGTTGTTGTCTTCGAGTTTGGACTTGCCTTGAATCGTTGCCTGTAAAGCCCCCAGAGATTCTGTGTGGCATATCGGGTTGACCTGACTCGTGAGTCCGACAGGTCTGATTGAAGGGTTTTGCAGGTCATTTTGCTCTCCTCCCTGAATCACATTTGCTTGCGTGTTAAACTTCCTGAGTCGCTTTGCATCCACATGAGTCAGAGATGCAAATCAACATTTCCTTGATGTTGTTTTTTGTCCTAAAGCAAAGCTGGACAGATAACCCCAACAACCCAGACATACTGTTTATCTAAAACCACTGCAGCTAGTATGGTTTAGGGGTTAGAAGTCAAGGTGTTATATATAACCAGTGTTTTTGAAAACATTAATATAATATTATATCATGTATTGAGGACGGTTTTTTTTTCATTGTCTTTACTCCAGTTTATGATAATCTCACCTAATTTTTTTAACGTTAAAAAATAAAATAAACTAATCATGCTACTCCCTTGGCGCATCCTTAAGGCACCCACTTTAGGAATAACCGACCTACACGTCTAAAAAAAACGATATAAATTCGCCCACAGACAAAGTCCCACCTTCTTCAACGTCAAACATTTTCTGATCGGTCATTCTTCTTACTTTCACGTGTTTTCGTTTTTCAGTCTTTCCTGCTATTTACTTTTATATCTCCTCAGTAAGTTTGCACCTGCACCTTTAATAACAATATTCCAGTGAATGATGTATGCAAATATTATCATAAAGTAGGTGTTCACACCAGCAGCTGTGCGTGCTGATATTTGATTATTAAATGTGTTTGCGTCATTCAATGTTGTTTTCGGTCTCACTCAAATTTCTGCTGCTGAATCATATTGTTGATAACTCAATGGATTATACCTGTAGGTTTGTTACTAAGAGGTTGGTGGTTCAAATCCCTGGTGGGACCGGGCTAATCCAGGCCTTGCTTGAGCATTTATTCGACCTGCCAGTTGGACTGTTAAATGTCCAGTCGCACTTTAGGTACCGCATATAAAAACAGAACCTCCACAGTAGACGCTCTGAGTGACTTTTTGGGGAAAGGTTAATAACATGTGGATGGCAGATAATGATTCATGTCTGGTGACGCATTTCCAGTGAAGGAACTTAATGTAATACTACATGTTGCCATTGTCACAAGTTCTGCTTTTAATTGTTTTCTGGCCATGTTAGGGAGAAAGATCAAGAGATCATACAGAGTCCAAATTCCAGGTACTTTCAGGCGGCGCTGGTGATAACAATCGGTCAAACAAATGAGTTGCCGTATCACAACAAGGACTGCAAGAGGCATTAAATAATAACCGCTATAAGACCATGCACTGTGTATACTATAACCAAATCCATTACACCATAAAGAAAACAACATTGTTTTATGTTGGAAAAACTGCCACAGCTCCTTGTAGAGGGGGTGGGGTTTTTCCAGGATGGTTCAGATGATTGTTTGGTTGCAAACTGCAATGGGTGCAGAACTGTGTTTGCTGTGTGATGTAGCGCCACTATGTAACAATTTTTCCTGGGATTAGATGAGGTGTTCTTTATTTTAGAGACTACAAAAACTGCATGAAATGCATTAAAACTGATGGAAATGTGTTATATTTTGCTTAAAGTTGCTTGAGAAACATCCTAATTCAAAGATAACTTAAGTGCTACAGTTAATTAACCAACTTTGTCTTTCTCTGTCTCTGTAGAGAAGGACTACAGCAGCCTCTGTGAGCGCCAGCCTATCGGACGGTTGCTGTTCAGACAGTTCTGTGAGACTCGACCTGAACTGAGACGCTGCGTCAAGTTCCTGGATGCTGTGGTAAGAATAGAGAAAGAGTTTGTGTTTGTGATGGGATGTGTGGATGATGGATTGTCCTGTTCCTGGAAGTGTGCGTTTGTTTGGGTTGGAGAGTTTGAGAGTTTTGTCCCAAATGCCCTTTTCCATGACTACCAGTGTGGAAAGACAAAAGGAATGAAGTGTCTGTGTGGGGTGAGGGGGGGGAGGTGGGGGGCTCTCAAGGACTTGGGTTTCTTTTTTGAAATGCTCCTCAGTTCCTGTTATAGACGGGAAGGAAGTGTGTGAGTGTGTGTGTCTGTGTAAGAAGAGATATGTGTTCATTTTCTTCCCACCTTGAAACCATCTTCAGCTCGTGCTGTGGTGAGAAGGCAGGTGTCAAATAAAAAAAGAGATTTGATGAAGAAGAGGGTGAGGAAGGACAAAAAGTTTTTTTAAAAGCAAAAGATTCCTTTGAAAAGAAACAAACACATAAACAAATGTCAAAACACAACAAGGACACAACTTGTTTACCTAAAAGTAAGCAAGAGAAGGATGTTATATAAGGGATTAAAAAGAGAATTAAAACAGCAAAGTGCTTAAAGGGTCACTTCATGATACATAGCTAATTTTATCAAGTAGCAATGAAGATGTTTTTAGATATATAGGCCAAGATCTGGGACATTACATGCAATATAATGGACATCATTGAACATTTAGAATTAACCATAAATACTCACCTGTACTTAATATTGTACACACAAAGCTATCTATATGCAACTCACAACAACAATACTATTAGCCTGTTTATATTTTTGGCATCATGTAAATGATTTGGTTTTTTTTTTTAGATTTGCACTTTCTCTTACTTTGTACTGCAACAGCTGCACAACAATTTGAGGACGGTATTTAGAGCCAGTGTTTGGTTTGTTCATTCTTGGCTCCTGTAGATACATGGTGGTTCAACATGGCGGCCTCTATGGCATTTGTTGATAGAAACAGCTGATTCTAAGGTAACAAAAACACAACGATTCGACAAATATCTCCAAACTGCTGACATCGCTTCTCCTCCACCTACTTCTGCTCTGCAAACGAGAGGTTACACAACATCACACTGCAGTATAGTGGTATCAGGTGCAGTATGATTACAGTTACGAGTACAAGAGAACAGTATCAGATTTTGAGTGTTTTTCTGACACGACCCATGTCAGTGTTACAAAAGTGATTCATATGAGTGTTTTTCTGTCTTTAGGGTCTCTTTAAAATCCCCTAATGGGGATATTTTCAAGGCACCCCATCCAAAAATAAAACCAAAACTGTTTTGTGATTTGGGTGAACTGACTCTTTAAACAACTGTGTTTTATTTTACATGCAGCTGGTGGAAGTAAATTGGTGAGGTGGTTCTCATGTAGGTCCTTCGATGCAGGAAGTTTAGTTGAAATGCCTCCCACACTTGAAGTTTGGAGTGAGGAGGAGGAGGATGAGGAGGAGGAGGAAGTGGAGTTTAATATCTGTTTAATGAAAGGAACAGGAACTCATGACTTCTGGGTGCAAAGGAGAGAAAAGTGCGTCAGTGTGTCGCCCTCTTGTACCTCCCATGTTGTATCCACGACACACACACACACACACACACACACACACACACACACACACACACACACACACACACACACACACACACTTTTCTGTTGACCTCATCTGTCACAGCTCTGCTCACTTGAGGAATGTTTCAGTCACACGCTTTTTTTATTCCCCTTGGAGTGTGTGTGTGTGTGTGTGTGTGTGTGTGTGTGTGTGTGTGTGTGTGTCTCATTGATGCTATTTAGCTTTTTTTGGTTGCACAGTTTTGATAAATGATAAACCGTTTCACTCCTTCGCTCTTACAGAAACACTCACACACACACAAAGTGAAATGTTGCTTTGAAGCCTCTTCCGCCTGCTTTTACTGCTACAAAATAACACACACACACACACACACACACACACACACACACACACAACACCTACACACACACCTCAACACACAGACTGGTCAAAACATCTTGTTACTCACCAGTCTTGTGCCTTCTTGTCTCCTTTCTGTTTTAGCAAAAAAAACATGCACGTCATGCTCTCTCTTTCTCCTCACCTTCCCATCTCTCTTCAGCTGCTACTATCTCATAAAGAAGAAGGCAGTCCTCATTCTTGAACCCCTTTTTCTTGTAAAAGTGAAACATGAAATACTACAGTTTAAGCATAATGTAAATCCCTCATTTGTGTAGCTTGTCTATCAGTCTCATACTCACAAACTATCCTGTCAGGCTCTTGAAACGGTCCTTATCATGACATCCAGTGACAGAAGTTTCGATAATTAAACTAGGTTTCCTAAGTGACATTTCTAGTGTGAGTCTCGAGTTCTGATTGAAGTTCACATACTAATATAACAAGTATTTCTTGTTTGTTTTTGTATAATCATGAGGAGAGAAGTGCCTGAGAAAGTGTTGCACTTGAGTTTATTCCGTTCTGTTTGCCCTCTCTGACGAGTGAAGCTATGTTTGTCGGTCAATCAGTGGATCAGTAATTGTTTGCTGTCAGATGTGATGGGCGGAGGTGGAAAGGTTGATGAAGACCTCGTCCATCCCTTCGTCTGTCTGTGTGAAGGCAGCAAGGCTCCAGTCTGACTGACCAGCTCAGCCAATCTGCTTTACAGCTTTCAGCCGTCCAGCGGATACAACTCACACACGAAGCAATTATGTTCTCTTTTACCCCACAACCGCTTCCCGTCTCTTCTCTGAGAACTCTGCGAGAGAACGAGATGGAGAGGGAAAATGAGATTTGAACCGTCTCTGCTGTCACTTAGCATTAGTTTACAGGCTCTCGCTGTGAGAGAGGAGAGGAAGCACTTTGGAGTTTTCCAGTCAGGCTCAGTTTACTGCAAGTCATTCAGAGGGATGGTTGATGTGAGGGGGAGTAGATGCAATCATCTCATGTACTGCAGGGTGTGGAACAGACCTCCCCAAACTCGTCAATTTCATCTTAAATTGGGTTTCCTGAAGTCGAGACTTTGAGAGGTCTTTATTGAACACACAGGGAGCTGGTAGAACGGCTGAGCAATTACTCAATATGATTCTTTATTGACCTTCAGTACAGTCATTATAGCATCATGATGATATGATCAGATTGTGTCATTGTACAAAATGCCAAATAGTCTAAACGAATGACTCAAAGCCAATTAAGTCATTGAAGTTTTTTTTTTATAACTGATGCATACTCCGTTATAATCATGGATATTTTTGATTTTTGATGCATACATTTGTATAAATCGACGTTGGATTAAGATTCAGATTAATATTGTGATGCTGATTTTAACCATAATGCTCAGCTCTAGACAGTAGACCCAGCAGGAACAGAACAATGGCTGTGCTTGGCTTTAACCACCGAGGTAGATTCATTGTGTATGTGAGGGAGTGGATGGTCACCAAGGTCAACCATCAGCTCCTCATCAGATGAAGATCTGAATGGCTTGTTGGAGCCCATACTTCCTGGAGCAATAGAAAAAGGGAAGAGAGGGTGTTTTTTGTATGCATGTGTAAAACATGTGATGTTTAAATACAGATGTTAAAAATCTTGTTTTGTGAAACTACTTCCTTAATGATTTCTAAAGGGTCTGATTCAAACACTATGTCAGTTGGTGTAATAATGTTACCACTGTATTACCACCACTGTACCATTTCTGACAGTAGATGCCCCTGAATGTTACACACTGAACCTTTAATATTAACCTGTTAATCTGCTTTACATTTATGTTCAGTCTTGATCAACACACTTTACCATGTCGAGACCCAAACTGCAAACAAATAAAACATTGTGAAATTATTGAATAAATCCAGACAAAATATACAACCAGGAAATTGTGAAGTATTTAAAACTCAGCACATTTTCATGAAATGTTACTTAATCCTGCTTCTTTTCACAACCACTTTTAACAGTAAAAAGTATATTTTAGCTTTATTTCAATATGGTCTTTGCCCAAAGTCTGTTTTCATCTCATAACGCTGTCTTTCCCAATAACTCTTTAATGATTTAATAATATGTGGCCTGTGCCATGATATGGCATATGGATGGTTTTTGTTTGTAGATGTCATTTGGACCCCAGTAAACTGTATCCAAAGGTGACTATGAAGCTGCCAAATTTGGGTAACTGAGGGACGATTAAGACAGAGCTCCTATTGCAGCTGATGGTCACCTCCTGCTCATTTTGTCTTAATATGTTTTTCTGCAGGCGGAGTACGAGGTGACTCCAGATGAGAAGAGGAAGGAGTGCGGTCAAGAACTCATCGACAGATACTTAAACCCAAAGGTAGCTGCTGCTGTCATGCATCTCTGTCACTATGTTTCCCTGCAGAGAAAGCTACTTTCACAGTTGAAAGGGCTACCAAAAGTTATTCTCATATCCTGATAACAATACAAGTTATTCTTTTCACGATGTAAATGCAAACTTAATGATTTTATAATTCAAGTTTGGATTTTTCTCAAGGCATACTCATGTAAAAAGAAAATGTATAAAATAAAATGGAGTAAAGAATTTATAGAAATACAGCACAGTAGTGCTGTATTTTCATTTATAAAATTCTAGCAAAAGTAAAGAAAACAACATATTCTTTATTCCAGTAATGGAGTAAAAAATAAATATAAAGGAAATAAATAAATAAAACTCAAAAATCCAAAACAGAATGACTCAGTTGAATTTCTGACAAGAGACCACTTTAAAGAGTTTTCATGAATGCACCCCAAAGGAGAGAAAACAGTCCTGACTCATTACCACCTGGCAAGAATATTTAAAGTCAGAAAACTAATCCACTAATCTGATGCACAATGCACAGCAGTTCACATTATTATTAAGTAAATGTAGCAAATTCAGACAAATTGCTACTTCATGTCTGCAGTCCTGGGCAGGTTGAAGTTTTCCTAATTATTCTGTCTCTGTGTGCTTTGCCTGTGTCTGTCTGTAACTGTGAACATACTGTACAAGTCTGAACATGCAGAAGCCTACTGAGTGTTCATCATCTTCCGGCACCTTCTTATACCCAGTTCATCCAGCTTTCCTCTGTGAGTTTACTGTCAGAGTTGAGTCATCCTGTTTACCTGGACTCAATGTTTTTTTGCGGTACAGTCGGAGGACCACGTGCCTGAGGTGGAGGAGGCAATGATGGCTCAGTGTGCCGAAAGGCTGCAGCAGGACGCCTGCAAAGAGCTCTTCAAGGACTGTACCAAGTAAGATCACAGGGGTCCCACGTGTGCTTCTTTATTCTGGTCCACTATTTTTGTCCAGTGCCTGTCAGAAACGCTATAGGACACATTGTTTGGTCAGAATTGTCCATGTAGTTTGTAGTGTTATTAATAAACCCTTTTACATTAATTTATCTTTGACAAAAAACTTTAGTCTAAAAATGTTAGAAATCAGCCTTTAAAAACCGAACAAATGTGTGTAATCATAGAATGAACCTCACAATTTCCAGAAATAAGATATTACCCACCAGGATTACACACCTGCAGTGTAGAGAAACAACAGACTATAATGTAAAAATATAACATTTTCAGAAAAATAAATTAAGCTGTTAAATTAATTTCTAAAATGTGAAGTGTTGTTATTTTCTTTTAAATACCACAAAACCTGGTTTATTTGTAATGTCAGTGTGAAGTTGAATTAATTGAGCTACAGGTTTAAAAGTGAACAAAATCTTACTTCAGACTGTGAATACAGTCAGAAAGTTAGCTGAAAATGAACTGATATCATGAACGCTTAATAAAATCACATGTATTACTGCAGGTTACCCTGACAATGCACTGATATATTTGGGAAATGACATGAGATGAGACGTAGGCAAAGCAAGGGCTACTGAATTTAACCATAACAGATTGAATTGCTGAAACATAGCAGATTTTATCCATTTTCCCATGAAATACAAAATCAGTGATCAATGTTAGCTCTTATCCCAAAATATCCAAACCCTCATCTCTCTCTGTGAGGTTTTCTGTTCTCCTGTGGTGATGCTACAATCATTCATTGAAAAGCACACACACAAACAAATGCCTTGCAGAGGGCTGACAGGCTGCTTTAGGAGCTGATTTGTGTGGACTAGACAAGTATCCCAGCATGCATTTTTCCATCAACTACAAGCAACTTGTGCCCTTTGCTTTACAAAATCCAGTTTTTTGTCTCATATTGTTTCAGATAGCACACGATAAAGTTCCCTACAGAGCAGCTTTAGGCTTGTGACATTAACTTTTGTTGCACTGGATTTGTTCTTTAGTGTTTCCCAAAGGAGGAAGTTAATGTTATAGCGGTTGAGAGTGCGCTGCAGTTTCTGACCATGGAGGTTGTTTGTCGCCCTGGGAAAAAATACCTCTGACACAGAACAAAATCTACTTCAGAAAAAGAAGAAATTGACTCACGGTGCTGTCGAGATTAAGAAGAATACAGAATAAGACAGAATGGAAAGAAAAACATTCCAATTAAATTTCATGTTGTTTGTGATGAGGAAGAGTTCATTGTTCATTCCATAAACACACACTCACACATTGAGTAACATCCTCTAACGGCTCTGTTCATGCTTGTTGCGTAGGCGTGAGGCAGCACAGAGGCCAGTTTGTTTTTCAAGCCACATCAAGTACAAGACATGAGTAATCTACTACACTGCAGTACACAGTATTATTTTATTCCATGTTTTTTATTCCAAGGACAACACACATTAACTGACATTTCTGTAAATTTTCAACTGCAGTCCTTTGGATAGATGTTTTAAAACCAATGCCTAAAATCTACAGACAAAAAACATTAGTACAGTAATACATCAACAATATCCAATATTCAGTACATGTACTGTAGCCATGCAAGCAAGCAACATGAAGCAGGAAAACACAGCCATGCAGTACTGATGACACACGCTGACATGCAGAGCAGCAATAAGCAATAGGCTATAAATAAAATACAACAATCATAATGGAGATCTCAATAAAAATGTTATAATATGCAGTTAAAAGTAACATATTTGATATCAAACACTAAACATAAGTCACTCTGAACTGAGGCAGTTTGCTCCTCTTTATCTGGTGAGAAGGTAAAAGATAAGTGCATAAGTCTGGTAATAATCTGCAAAATGAGTTTAATTTATCAATATTGCAACCAAGTGTATATATATATGTCTGTATGTAGAAATACGACACGTCATCTTCACACTGTTCCTGTCAGAACTGTTTTCTAATAATATAGATTATCTTAAATCTTATATTTCTATAATTTGAATATTCCTTCTCACTTCTGCTTTATTTGTCAGTGTTTCATTCAGACATTAACCTCGATCAAGACTGTTTCATATGTCAGCAGGTCCTAAAAGCAGCATATTGCCTGAGTTAAGCTTCTTTTTCAGAAGATTAAATCTGAAATCAATCCATATGTTTGCTTTCATTTGAAATTGGAGTGGTTATGTTTATTTTCCTTCCTCTGAACACATCATAGTTAGAAACACCTGGCCATAACATAGTAGAAACGTAATTATACAAGAAACGATTGATTTCATAAATTGATTCATATTCAGAGCAGATAAGAATGTCTATAAAACCTTAATTAAAGCTAATTAACAAAAGTTTAAAGTCTAAATGCAAAAGAAGTGAACTTAGAGTTACAATGTAACTTTTGAATGAAGAAAAAACTAATGTGTCTTCTTACTAAGCCACTAGGGCTGCAATCAAAGGTTTTTGTTTCCTTTTACCCCAAATTGATGCATAAAGATTGACCAATATAGATAAATTTTCCCAGAGCCCAAGGTGGCGTCTTCAAATGACCAACAGTACTAAATTTATTTAGTTTAAGATGATATGAAACAGAAAAGCAGCAAATCCTCCCAGGAGAGGCCTCCCAGGAATATGTGGTTTTTGCTTGATAGATAGATTTTAAGTTATTAATCAGTTATCACAATTGTTGTTAATCTTCTGTGAAGCGACTTATCAATTAATTGAAAGTGACTAACTCGAGAGAATCTTGGGTTAATTGAAGGGAAAATAAATATCATTATGCAGCCGTTGTCACTTTTGTCAACAAAAAGAGAAAATGACCAAGAGATGCTGTTTGTTGTTTTTTTCCCAGATTGATCCACGACTACCTGAGCGTGGCGCCCTTCGCAGACTACCTCGACAGCATGTACTACAACAGGTTCCTCCAGTGGAAGTGGTTGGAGAGGTAAAGTTCGATATGAGTGAAATTAACGTCCTCGCCTCGTCCGTGTTTCTTCCTTTCTGCTTATTCTTCCTTTTGCTGCCGTTTGTCTCTTTTATGTGCATCAGCATAATGTCTTTACAGACACACACACACACACACACACACACACACACACACACACACACACACACACACACACCACTTAAAAGCTCTCTCAGGCTTATTTAGAGGCTACATTGGCCTTAAACTCCACCACAGCACCAGTAACAACATGCTCAGAGAGTTGCCTCATTCCTTCTTCCTCTCCACAGTGTCCTCAGCTCCTCGGGGTTACAGGGGAAAGAACAACGCAATCCACAAACTTCACAGTGATATCACCATAACATATTTCAAGACAGGAGCTTGAAGTTGCTCAACTGCAAAGTTTCAGCGACGTGACTTTAGGAACACGCTGTTAGCCTAAAAGGTTAGATACAAGTGTTTCTGCTGTGTTACAGATAATACCAGCGAAGGTTCTGTTTAGAGAGATACAGGAGTGCAGCAGGCAATTCTGGCATTTGATCAGGTCTCATGATCACAGTAAAGAGCATTCATTATTGTAGAAACTTTTCCTTAAATTATGTACATTTTTATTTTGCTTTACCTTGAAAGTCTCATTGAGATTAAAACTTTCAGGCCAAGAGTGACAGCAGTAACAATCAGGTTACAGACAATCAACATAAAACAGAACTCAGAATATGTCACAAAATCAGTATTATTTGAAGCTTAAAAACTACTCAAAAAGATCTGTTTCTCTTGCAGGGAGTTAGAGTTCATTTTGCTATTTTAAATGCAGCAGCAGAAGTGTAATGGTCAGAGGGAACAGCAAACATAAAAGCTCTTTTCCCTGGTTTAGTGCAGACTTTCCTGTCTGAAATGAAAATGAAAATGAGTCCTGGGAACAAAGAGCAAAGCTGTTCACACATTTATTTTGAATACATTTACATAGATGCAGTGTTTGTGCCATAAATGGCATCAAAGACCACAGGCAAGCCATTCAGTCTGGTGATTACTATTTCAGATGATATTTAAGATCGTCTCCACTGCAAACCGTGTGCTCACAGCGGCCGTTGCTCTCTATGAATGCATGAACTTAACCACAGAGCGACTGCTCATCAGTGAGTCAGTAATGAGACGATGCAAAATGATGTTATGTTGAGTGATCTGGATGCAACTCCAGCTCTCAAACGTATGTAGCTAACTGTCACTCTACATCACAAACAGGGCGGTGCCATATGACTAACCTCTAACCCTAAGTACGGTTTTCTAGTTCGTGTCAGACTTTTCATACCCAAAGCACATCCATGTGACAGCAATAGCCCCACCTTAGCTCTTGGTTTTGTCTTGGCTGGTTGGAGTCTGTCTCCTATTCTCCGTTCTGTGTCACGTTCACTCTTCACACGTTTGTTCGAGTTGGGTTGCCATATGCAGATTTCCTGCCTGCATCTGCGCTGAACGGAAGGAGCAAATTGTCGTCTAAATGACAAAACTGACGAAATAATCCGTAGAGCAGAATATCAAACGACAGATGTTTTTCTAACCTGACACAATGTACTGTATATTATGTATCATCACACAGCCATAATAACAAAGTAAATGAAACAATGACTTAAGGGATTAAATATAAGTCAATAATTGATGTTATTAGTGATGAAACCCCAAACTGATCTATAAATCAAACACTGCACAGTAGATATCTGCAGCAGGATTCCTGTTAACCCCTTGTGTAAAGCATAACTCTGGTTTAAAGGATCACATTAAGTTAAATTGCCACTGAAAAAGATGTGATGTGATGTCCCGTTTCTAATTCAGATAATTAATAAGTATGTTGTCCCACAGTTGGACTGCCAGTCAGTAGCCAAGAAGTTAAATGCAATTAGATTACTAGCAAACAGACACACAAATAAACATATGCTAAAAAAGTAGTTTCCTGGGAAAGGGAGCCGATTCTGATGAGAATTCCCAGGATAAACAGGGATCTCAGTTCCTGGTATTCAACTGTAGTCGCTCTGCTGTCTGACGTTATTCAGCACAGAATTGCTTAAGTGTTAATTTGCTGGTGGAGAAATAAATCCATCATGAGAATAATGGTTGTTTTGAGTTTGATCAGGTTTGTTTACAGAAAGAGAAAGTTGATTTGGGCCTGGGTCCCATCAGGGACCTCTGATGGTTCCCAGACTCCACTTTGAAAACCTCAGCGGTGTTGTAAACATATGGTTTATCCTGCAGTGGACTGAGGGTATAGGTTTGATGGTTAAACTGGTGTTCTTCAAGATCAGCTGAAACAACCCGCTTGAGATACTGATCCATTTAGTTTAGTATAGATCAGGCCTGAATCTACACGGTGATGACGGAGAAATACAAGATGGAGTGATGGAAGAAGAGAGGAAGATATAGAGAAGGAGTGGAAAAAGACAGAAAATAAACAAAACAAAAGGACGAGAGATGGTGGAGACAGATGGTGTGTCTGTGTGCCTACCAGGAACCTTTTACAGTGTTGGCTTCTTTCCTCATTATTTATAGCAGATTGAGGTCTGTTTCTCCAGCCCCACAAGCTTCTTATCAGATAAAAACCCTGTATGTCCGGCATGTCAGTTTTCCAGTAACTGTATAAGGTTGATGACCTTGAATTTTTCAGTTCATCCAGTGGGGTTTAGAAAAGTTTTGGACGAATCACAGGGTCACTGAATTCCCTCCTCGCAGGAAAATTTCTGATCTTCAGCTGCAGGGAAAACATGAAAACCAACACCATAATTGGAATATTTTCTTGCAGCAGCAACGTCAGACTACGAGATGTTGAAAGAGTAGCACGGGAAGCTGCTTATGCTATCACAATTAAAATAAATAAACCAAAAAAACAAATTAAAGAAAATAAAATTTCCCTTTTTTTTGCAGTGGCTATAGCTATGCTCACAGATGATTCTCCAGCTGTCCTTCAGGGTGTCTCCAGTTGCTAGGACAGTCCAAAACTTCTCTTGTCTCCTAGCAACAGCAGGATCCACACCTTACAAGCACCTGTATTTTGTCATTACCTAAAGATAATAATTGTGCAAAAAGAATGAGAAACAAACAACAGAAAATATAGCTGCGCCTCTCTTTTTTTACCCACAGCACCACTGATAGATCTTTGATCAATGGTTGTTGTAATCTCACCTCTTCTTTTCTTATGCTTGCGAACGACTAGTGCAACAGAGATGATATACTGTGGTTACCAAAAGTGTATTAAATCTTCTGAAAATAACAACACCTACAGTAAAAAAAAACTTTGTCCAGTCCTGCCCTCGGTCTCAGTCCAACTGGTCGTTTACAGAGTAACAGTAGATTCTAGTTAATGGGTGTGTGTCTTTTGTCTCACACCACAACTGTAAATTGTTCATGACTAAAACCTGTATTTTTCAGAATACCAGGTTATTATTTTGAATACAGTTATGCGTAAGTGTAGTTGCATTTTGGGTTATTAAATATTGTGCAGTGACTAAGGAGACAAAACAAAGCATAAGAGTTGGATTTCAATGACTGAACTTATGTCCTTTCTTCATATGTGAAGACATAAGTTTATTTAAGTCTCAAGTGATGTGAGCAGAGAATGAAGACACATGTGATACGGAGATAGGGCAAACACTTGAGGACTTTACTGAAAGCTTCTTGCGGATAGGAACAAAAAACACTCAACTGATGGTAAGCCAAAACACAAATACTCCGGCTCTACATAGTCTCTGCACTCTAGCATTGACTGACCATCTGAATGGACTTATATACCCACAGACTAATGGGCTGATTGAACAGGGCTGGGTAATGGCTGATGAAAGGAAAGCAGAAGTGCGGCCAGAATTAAGGACCTCTGGAGGTCAGAACTCGGGAAACACAGGACCTGAAAGACAACAACACGGGTTACAGCAATGCTAGGAGCTATTGGAAGGAGTAGCAAGGCTTAAAGGACATTTGTCACTTTGTTCCATCCTGTACAACTTCATTGTTTTGCTGATTTAATCTCAATCAGTTTCATTGAGTGCGTCCTACAGGGATAAACAAGGCGCTGTTATGTGATCTCAGTCATCTGCATGAATGGTTTAAACTCTGTTTAAAATCAACCTTGCTATCCTAAATACAGTTTAAGACAAATTATACACATAACTTCTGATGTAAATGTCCTACTTACTCCTGATACTTGGCACTCTCTCCTGTTGGTATCTGTGCTCTGTAATGCCATCAATGCACTGCAGATAAAATCTAATCTAAGAAAATGTCTCAGTGACTCAAGGCCTTTTTGTTTAAATTTGTCAAGTGAACAGCACTTTAGTGTTACTGACCAACATGTGTCCATGGCACTGTTTATTGAAATATATCATGCACTGAAAGATGGCATTGAATACTTGATCAGATAGTCTTTATTACTTTATTTAGATGTTAACTGATTTAAATTGCATTTTTTGCCAACTTATTTAACTCAGGAAAGGCTTTATAAGGCTTCATAAGCAGTAGTACCAAAATGTCTTATAAAACTTATTACTGGTACTTATTTTAGGACTGGTATAACTCCATGGACGTTAACTGAAAACCTGCAGCCCACAACCACTCACATTACATTTCAAAGTTCAAACTAAATGTGGCTCTCCCTCTCCCATCAATATTTTAATAACTGTGTTTAGTTGAACTCTTCCATAGAGAGAGAAGTAGCGATAAACCATAATAACAAAACAGGTCTAACTAATAACATCAATGATAGCATGTAGATAGTAACAGTAATAGAACAGGTATACGTAATTACTTTGTATTTACTTGTTTTATTATTTACTTCATAGCATGTTTATTGTGTATTTAAATTTTTAGCTAATATTCATTGTTGATTATTATTGTTATCAGTTTTATGTTTGCATTGTTTTACATTTGACACAAAATATAAATGAGGACACCTCCTCAATGGTCTTTGAGGTAAAATGAAGGTGTATTACATTGATGGAAACAAGAGTGCAGCTGGTAAGATCTTGGCATTGTGCGTTACCACGAGCGGATAAATATTAAATATGAAACAAAAATGAAATGGAGTGGAATAGTAGGACACCTGTGGCTAATAACACATAGCTTTAAAGGTAGCATTTATGTAATTTGATTTGATTAGATTTGACTGCATTGTCAGATTTCTCTGTACACTGTGTCGCATACACACTAAAACAAACACTAAAAAATATATATCACATCAGCCATTATAACTTTATACTAACATGAAAATGTCAGCATGTATGAAGGTTAAGTTTTGAATGTTAACTTAGTAGCACTTGAACCCAAACATAGCATTTCCATTCGTCACCCATTTAACAATTTTGTTTTCTGTTTTGTAATCAGCATTAAAGCCTCTAAAGTTGCTATGAACCTTTAGTCTCCTGTTGTTCATTAACAGTAATTTAGAATCGAGCATTGCCGAGAGGGTTACAGAGACAATGTTGTTTTTACCAATGACATGTCCAGAGCCAAACTAGTTCCTGTTCACCGTCACTCTTCCATTCATCAGAACAGGAAGGCAGCAGGTCAATATGGGGCTAAATGCAGGGATACACAAACCAATATCAGTTAATGAAAAACATAATGTAAAAAACAAGCAGGAGAGGTGCCATCACAGGGCTTATTAAGCAGTTAATGACTCATCCTGTTTTAATGAGTTCAGGCTCCTGGGTCCATTTAATTTACCTGCTTGAATGACCGAACTGTCCAGCGGGAGATGACATGAGAGCGTTGGTACCAGCAGGGACCAGTTCATTGGTGCTGGTGTTCATTATCAGCTCTGTTTGCAGTCCTCATGAATCCATCCACTGCTGACTGACTGTGGATGCAAAAACTGTTTTTAAGATCTCTGCACTGTGGAAACACTGAGAGTTTTCAGTCATATAAAGTTGTTGAGTTTTAGTGGCTGCAGGTGCATTTAAAAAAATTTAAGTTTCAGTAATGCTCCAAGAATCTGTGATCCAGTAACTTGTATTTAATTGGACTTTTACATGTGTTGCAGTGTTATAAAAAGAGCTTTTCTTTGTGTCCAACAGGCAACCCGTGACGAAAAATACATTTCGACAGTACAGAGTTTTAGGGAAAGGAGGCTTTGGAGAGGTGAGTTCATTCTGTTTTTGTTTGTTTGTTTTTTGCGTCAACACAACGTACAACAGAACAACTAACAAACACAGAGAAAATGATCTAATTGAGTAAAAATAAATAGTAAAATAAAATTGAATGGAAAAAACAGAGAGGCTTTAACTAGGAGACTGTGATCATTGCTCTTAAAAGCAAAACCCTTTACAGATAACTGGAATTATCATCTGGTGTGATCTCAGGTAGGATAATGAGGTAAAATTTATACTCAAACATCAACTTATTTTCTTATTGAACACTTTGTTTTGGCAGTCTCAATATATATAGATAGCCCACTACCTTTTGTTACTGGCAGTATACAGTTTCTCTAGTTCAGATGGCATTTGACGCACTTTCTCAATTTTAAGAAGTTAGTCCCGGATAGACAAATTCAATTATTTATGTATGTCAACAGGATTTATATATAAAAGCAGAACAAGTAAACGTTTCATCCTCAGTTAACGATGCAGGCTTCCCCTGAGTTTATAGCACCACTCACTGGACGGGAAATAAGAGACAGGCAGAACAGGTAGAGAGAAGTTATTTTATTTTATTAATAAAGATTGACCAGGTGAGGAGATAAAACAAGGCGTATATGATTGCTCCCTTCATATTTATGTGTGCTGCTACAATTTACACCTGGATGCAGCTTAATTTGAGCATATCTGATCACACAACAGTGCATAAATGAAGCAGATGTTTCCTTTAATCGCAGCCCTCCGTGTGTTAACCCTCTTTTTTTATGTCCTGAGCTGCTGTCTTCTGTTAACCTATAATTAGATCATTTACAATCACAGTTTTGTTTGGGGTCCTGGTGCTCTTAGAAATGTGAAGTCACAAGATATAATAAATATGAAGATATGAATGAGATATGAAATAGTCTCTGTTTTATTAAGTGACTGAGTGTATTATATCTTTTTACCCCCGCCTCCTCCTCCTACCCTGCAGGTGTGTGCGTGTCAGGTACGAGCCACAGGGAAAATGTACGCCTGTAAGAAACTTGAGAAGAAGAGGATAAAGAAGAGGAAAGGAGAGTCCATGGCACTTAATGAGAAACAGATCCTGGAGAAAGTCAACAGCAGATTTGTGGTAAGAATCTCATGTTGTCTCCAATCTAAGAGTAAAACCTTTAAAAGTTCTCACAAATAAGCTCTCAAACCCTTTACTTTGCTCCTCTTTAGTCAAACAAAACCAAATTGTTGCAGACTGTTTTCAGGGGTGGACCAATCCACATTTGGTACTAGTGAGTATTTCTGGCAGCAGAACTGTGTATGTACGAACTAGTTAGTAGAAAATTATAGAATATAACGAGATCTTTTCATATTAACACTTTAGAAGGTGCTCTTGGTTTCTGTTCAACAAACAGCTTTTCTAACTTCCAAAAATAGACATTTGTAGAGCACTTTGCATATTTCCCCGTCAGTTTGCTCTCTGTGTGCATCAATCGGACGTGATGTCTGCAACATTAACAACTGCAGTAATTAAAAGACAACATGGAGGTTTGTTTTGTGTCTGGTTTGTTTTGAATCTCTTCCAAATGACCTTAGTTCAGCATAGTGGATTTGAACTCGTCCAAGCTCCCAGAACTGAGGAGTCCCTCAGGATTCAAAGTGACTTGCGTGTCAAAATGCTGTCAGACAACTTTATTTAACAGCAATTCATTTAGAAATTTTGGCAGCAGGTTGTGTGTTTAGTTGTGTGGACGTGCAGGCATCAGCGTAGCTTCGTGAATATCTCACGTTAAAGGAAAGATTCACCTCAAAATGCTGTCATGCTTTCATTATTTTCTTGTTTTCTTCCACCACATTTCAGATGGCAATATTGTACTTTTGTCATTGTTAAACAGACTCTAGCATAAAAAAATATGCTGTTCCTATATTCCAATATTTTATATTCACAATGGATCAATAGCTACTTTAAAGTAAAGGTGTTGCTCAAACTGAGAAGCCCATTGTGTTTTTAGCTTGTTGGTTCGGTCTTCCAGCCGATCAGTGTTGTTGTAGCTGACTCTCAGCAGACAGACACAGTTAGAGACTATAGCTGGTGAACATTTAGCAGCTTATATAGCCAGATATTTTTCTCAGGAGTTGGTGGAAAAAGAGCTAAAAGAGTTGAATATTGCTAAATGCTCACCATAACAAGTTCATAAGGTGATAATATATGAGTATTGTCTTTACAGCTTATTCCACTGCCCCCAATTGGCCAAAAACACAAGTGATGAAGGTTTAATGATCTTAAATTGTGATGAAAGATTGATCTTGATCTATGATTATTATTATAATTGTTATTATTATATTCATTTTGTTGTTTCTACTGTTGACTCTCTCCTGTGTCCACTCTAAACACTTGCAGAAGTGCGAGGCTACAACAAGTAAACAAATATAAATAAAGTTTAAATTAAACCAAAATTAGATTTTGGACTGCACTACATTTATCTGAAAGCTTGAGTTCCAACTATGGATTATTTTCATGATACATTTTTCTGATGATTGTTTTTAAAATTAATAGATTAATCGATCTCTATTTCCCAGAATCCAAGGTGACGTCTTGAGACAGCTTGTTTTATCCAACCAACCAAATCCCAAATATATTCCATTTACAATAAAGCTGGAAATAGAGAATGTTTGATATTTTGGCTTGATTTATTAAAACAATTATTTTTTCCTGTTGATCAACTAATCAATTAAACTACTAATCATTTCAGCTCTATTACTGAAGCTCTATGGCTGCAGCTAGAAGTTGATTTTTCTTTAATTATGATGCATCACTGTATTTTAAACCTCTCAGCAACTGATAGGTAGCAGTTAGACCTGATCAGAGCTGAAGCAGCTGAAACGTTACCACGCAGCTTCCTCACTAACGCATCATGAACACATGACCCTCCTCTGTCTCCAGGTGAGTTTAGCGTACGCCTACGAGACGAAGGACGCTCTGTGCCTTGTGTTGACCCTCATGAACGGAGGAGACCTGAAGTTTCACATCTATCACATGGGCGATGCGGGCTTTGACGAGAAAAGAGCCATCTTCTACTCTGCAGAGATCTGCTGCGGGCTGGAGGATCTGCACCGAGAACGCATCGTCTACAGGTCAGCACGTTTGACCCTCACAGACATTTTTCTCAGTGTCCTTACTCGCTCCTCGTGTTTCACTGGCTCTCCTCTTTGTTCTCTTGTCACACAGGGACCTAAAACCAGAGAACATCCTGCTGGACGACCACGGTGAGTAACAGCGTTAAAGGAAAAATTCTCAACTTTTCTATGAAAGTCTGATCACCATTAAAGCTCTTGTCTCTAAGTCACAGATCAATGAGTTAAAGAAGACCAATGAGAACTACTGTTACCTGGCAGATTTGAGTGTTTTAAAAAGTTTAGACACTTATGTAATTACGGTACTAAGTGCTTAGTGTTCATTATCTGTTATCCATTGTAAATAAACTACCATAAATCCACTTGGAAATCATAAAAAAATGCAGAACTTTGGCTGAGAATCATCATGTTTTTAAGTTTTCTTCAGTGTCAAAGTAATGCAGTTATAGTTCTTTGCACATCAGTGGGTGCATTGCAAATAGGAACAGGAACCCACAACCAAACCCACAAACGGCACCAAAACATAACCTCTTTGATGGCAGTAACTATGAGACTGTTCTGGCAGTAAAGGAGTCAACTGTTTGTATTATAGCAGTTTGAGGTATAACTTCCCACTGTAAATCACCAGAGGGCGCTCTGACTCTGGTAGACGGCCTGATCTAAAACCAAAAGCTTTCAGAGAAAAGATTTAAAGTCTCTGCTGATGTGTTTCATTCCATATGACAATTAGATGTAATTTTAAAAATATATATTGCAAACCCTGAAAGATGCAAGAAAGCAATGACTATTTTGAGCTGGTGTGAAAAAATTAAATGAAGACAAACATCTATGCTCAAAACCAGCCAATAAAGCCACAAATATCCAGTTGTTTAGTAAAGACTGCACTAGTTTGTGGGAAATAACGGCAGAATCAAGATGAATCTAACACCAGCAGAACTGTGGTAAATATATATTTAACATTCAGGAAGTTGAGAGAAATGACTGCGAGTAATAAGCATAAAGATACAGAATTTCCTCAGATAATGTGGCCGAATTTTAAAAGCACATCTGCTCATATGTATGTTTGCTGGCACGTTATGCATCAAAGGAAACAAACAGCTCACTATCTCTTCGATGGAAGTGGTCTCAACACATGATGTTCTGATGCAGACGTTTTCATAAATCACAAGATACAGCACAAATTATCTGACGCCTTGCACAGAGCAGCATGAACAATCTCACAGTTCTGTTCCTTTGTATGACTTTCAGTTAGATGTGGAGAAACCCAGTGATTGGTTTTGCTTTTGTACGTTACTCCTTGAAAGACAAATAATACAACTACGAGAAAAGCACTACTGCAAAGAGGATTTTTTCAGTTTTTACTGAAGAGATTTAGAAAATATCTTCTCACATGAAACAAATGACTGTCAATTGCAGCCTCAATCTGCTGAAAATAAAACTGGTGCTGAAAAGAACCAGAATTGATCAGATAAGATGAAAATACTCCTCACCTTTTCTTCTATCTTACAGACCTTCATGTGTTTGTGTTGTGTCTTTAGGCCACATCAGGATATCAGACCTGGGTTTAGCAGTCCATGTACCAGAGGGACAGACCATCAAGGGACGGGTGGGAACTGTGGGATACATGGGTAAGTAACCCCTCATCAACTTCTGCTAGTAAGTAGATTCTAAAAACAGGAGTAAACCACATTTTCAGCATTGATCAGTGGCAGAAAGAGCTCACTAAATGTTTTAGTGTTCTGTGTTTAAAAATTTACATTCAGCTCAGTCTGCTGCCTACCTTCTCTCCTCCAGCTCCGGAGGTGGTGAAAAACGAGCGCTACACCTTCAGCCCCGACTGGTGGGCGCTGGGCTGCCTGCTGTACGAGATGATCGAGGGCCAATCTCCCTTCCAGCAGAGGAAGAAGAAGATCAAGAGGGAGGAAGTGGAGCGGCTGGTGAAGGAGGTGGAGGAGGAATATTCCAGCAAGTTCTCAGAGGACGCCAAGTCCCTCTGTAAAATGGTGGGTGGATGCTCAAACGGCCAAATCCACTTTTATTTGCTCTGGTCTATAGATCCCATCTGCTCCATATTTGACCATACTCTAATGGTACACCTCTGTGTTTAAACAGACTTAGTCCAAGTGTCTGTTTGGCTGCATTTCTTCTCTCACATCACACTTTATGTTAATGGAACCATAAACACCCACAGCATGCTTATAAAAATCTGCTCAAGCTACATTTTGGTGGATTTTGACTGACATGACGTTGACCAATAGCAAATATTTGGGGGCGGTCACACTGTAGAGTCCAGCAGGAATAAAGCTAAAAATGCAGTGAAAAAGTCTTTCTTCTGTTTTCTCTGCAGTTAGTTGCACAATCAATTAAAGTGTCGTAACTTGATGTACTAATTCCTAGTTGGCATGCTAAGCTTCCTGAAAAAAAAAAAACAAGGTTGTCTGGCAGAAAGGTTAAATCTTGCTCAACATTTTTTGCAATTCAATGCATCATCAACCATCAACGCACTGACTGAGTTGGCCAATCACATACGTGCAAGCTCACATTCCTGATGGATGACTTTGTAATGGAACAGGTTGTTTCTGCTGTTGTAATGAAAAAGCATTTGCATAAAATGATTGTTGATGTGGTAACTTTTTGTATATGTTAAATCCTGTCTAATAGTGTTATAAACCACTGTGCAGTATTTTGGTATCCGCTCTGTTATGCAAGTCAGACTTTCTGGATTCTATTCCATCGCCTCACCTGTACAATAATGTGAGAGACAATAATTCCCCACCTGAACACCTGCTTTTTCTTCAGACTTTTTCTTGAGTTTAAAACTTGTGTGTTTCTACTGTTTTTCTGTCACTTTCCGTTGTTTATAACAGTGTTTTTTAACCCCCAGCTTCTGGCCAAAGATCCCACAGAGAGGCTGGGTAGTCAGGGAGGTGGAGCCTCTGAGGTCAAAGCCCACCTCATCTTCCGCTCCATAAACTTCAAACGCCTTGAGGCCGGCATGCTGCAGGCACCCTTCATTCCTGATGTAAGTCCACAATATATCATCTCAGACATTAAGTTCACAGAACTTCAGGAAGGTTTGTGCTACAGAAACCTGAATCTTAGCGATTGGTTGGTTTCCCAATTTTAAGAATGTACTACCGAAAAAAATATACCAAAAACATTTATATTTTGGGAAATACAGTTCTTAGAGTTAGATGAGGAAAATATATATCTGTATATCAGTTTCATCCGTCCTCATTTGTGTACAGTATAGAGATAGGTCTAGGAAGTATTTCCACAGGTGTAACTAATAACATTGAAGGGTAACTTTTTTCAACCTAGAACCTGTGACATGGGCTACAATGTAATCTGTGCTTCAAAATGTGTCCATTAAAAGTGCCTTGTTTTTACCACTGACTAGCTCAAATTGTTATAAGTGTCTGATAGTACTGTAAAAAAAGAAAAATGAATTGTTTTCTCTTCTTTTCATTTGATCCGGTATGTGAAATCTCCTCTGTGGGCACAGGGTCACAGCACCTACAGGAACACCACTAGTCTTCTGTGTATTTTGCTGCTCAATTAAAAAGGGGCAGTCATCAAATACAAAAGCCTCATGCAAATCGGAGAATGATATTTATTTCTTCTGCACAACCCTCAGCTATGCTTTCTGTACACACAACACAACAAACTCTCCCCGGCCAGCGTTACTGCGCTCATGTTTTCCACTGTCTTCCTGCAAGAGATTTCATGATGAGACTTCTCATTGAGTGAAACTTGGTTGGACACACAGCAGATCATGTGAAAGGAACAGAAAACATTCATTTTCTCTATAGGGTTGTGTTGTCAGACACCTATAATAACAATCAGAGCCAGTTAGGAGAAACAAGCACTTTTAATGCCTGCAAGGATTACTTTGTAGCTGTTTGGTGTGTGCAGGGCTCTCACTCAATACTTGTTGTCCCATTCATCACTTTGACACAAAATCACAGGAAAATAAGGTCTGAAGTTTCCCTTTAATAGCACAACTGTTGCATTAATGAAAGCACATTTTTAACTAATGACATCAATTATAGCGCAGTTGTAACTAATACATGAATAATATCAGAGGAGTTATTGATAGTGCAGGTGTAACTAACATTAATCATAGCATATCTAAATCTTTTCATTTAACTTCCAGTAAGAAAGCAAACAAGCATATTTCCTCTTTCCTTTAAGCAAAGAGCTGGAAATTCAATCTTCTCCACAGCAGTGGAGTTAATTAATCTGATTAATAAGAATGTCTCATTATATGGAGCATGCTTAATTAACCTCAACAGTCTCTGTAACAGGAAGGATTCTCTATCTAAACAAAGAGATCTAAGTTAGTTTGGAGGGATTACGAAATGTATACCATAAGCTCCTCAGTAGTGATGGTAGTGGTTTGTGTGTGTGTGTGCTGCAGCCGCAGGCCATCTACTGTAAAGACGTGCTGGACATTGAGCAGTTCTCCACTGTGAAAGGAGTGGAGCTGGAGCCCAAAGACGAGTCTTTCTACAGCAAAGTGTCCACAGGCAGCGTCTCCATTCCCTGGCAGAATGAGGTGAGAAACGTACTCAAAAACACCCACTTTCTGCAGAACGTATGTCTCTCTGTGCATGTGATACTAACAATGAAGTTTGGTCTTTTGTCCCACAGACAGAGGTGGCAAAAGCACACATATTCTTTACTTTAGTAGAAAATAAGATACAACTTCTTTACTTAAGTAAAAGTGAAAAGTACAGGCTTTGAATAGTACTCAAAGTATAAAGGTAAAAAGTACTCTCTGTAGGATCCTTTCTACTGGCTGTTTCTGAAACTTCTGGTCGTAATTATAATAATAATAATCGATAATTACCCTCAAATGCATTAAAACAAAAGTAATGAGCCTGTCTTGAAAATGTAAGGAGTAGAAAGTACAGATATTGAAGTATTTGTTACTTTCCACCTTTGCCCGCAGATGATCGAGACGGAGTGTTTCGCAGAGCTGAATGTTTTCCACCAGGACGGGACAGTTCCTCCTGACCTGGACTGGAGAGGACAGCCGTCTCCTCCACCCAAACAGGGACTCCTGCAACGGCTGTTTGGCCGACAGGTTAGTGGACTCCCCCTCACCTCACAAACATCATCATCCCTTTATATCCCAGCATCTGTGCAAACAGCTACACATCGGTTTGTTAGGAGTGGAACAGTCCCAGTTTGTGCTTATCCTGCAGTCACCGTTTTTATATTGAAAATATTGCAACTTAAAAAAATTGTTTTTGTTTATTGTTACGAGCTTGTTGAGCTTCACTGTACAGAATGATGTGTGTGCAGTTTTTTTTCACATTAATCTACCGAAGGAGGAAAGTTTCTCTATTAAATCTCAGTTACTTAGCCTCCAGTGCACAATGAGTGATCTTCACTTCAGTGAAGTAGGGGACATTTTGTACAAATAGAAAGGTAAATGAACTTTTTGTGGAAAAAAGTTACTATTCCACACAGAATATTCTTATATGTTAATAATCTAATCATATAATAAACAGAAAATAAACCGATTCATCCAATCTGACAGAAGACAGAAGAGTTTTTTAGTTTATTAGATGTTTTTGTCTATGAACAAAAAACTTTAATCTCACAGAAGTACACATGTATTGGACCAGATTTAGGTACTTGTTAATTTCTGTCTGCAGTCACAAAGCAGTTAGATATAGAAACTAATACAATTAATGCAATTACTACAAAAAGTCTCAAATACAATAAATACTAGTTAGTTTAGTTTAGTTAACTAGTTTATTTGTTTATTTGTAAGGGACAAGTATAGAGAAGCATTGAGATTTGCAGAAGCAATGCACGATGTACTGTTTATATAGCTGTAGCTGTTTTCCAGCAATAGGCGTCCATTAAAATGACATGTTACAGTTTAAAAACAGTTAAAACCATTGATCCAAACATACAAATTTAAATCATTACACCCAACACAATGCAATATATACAAATAATAATTCCCACTCAGCAGATAGCAATGTTGTACCTTAGTGTATGGCTCATTTGCTTTTTGAACCCAAGAGTAGGATCCAAAACAACACATTAGAATTTAACCTTGTCTACATTTTCGAATTTCTTTGACCATTTTCGTAAATATCCCAGATAATATTACAAATAAAGTTGAGTAGTTGTTCAGTTCAAATGTGTCTCTAAGTGACTCTGTGCTCTGCCTCTGTCTGCAGGACTGCTGTGGTAACTGCAGTGACAGTGACGAGGAGCCCACCAGGCTGTGACACACACACACACACACACACACACACACACACACACACACACACACACACACACACACACACACACACACACACACACACACACACACACACACAGGATCTCATTTGTTTACAATTTTTGCACATTTGTATTTTTAAGATAGTACTATCTCTAAATGTCAGAATGTATATTTTCAGCATAGCCATAATGTTTAATGTTATTTAAAACGTGTGAAATATCAGCTGTCGACGCGAACGAGATGAACAGTTGTTGTTTTGTTTTTTTGTTTTTTTGCTTTTGTTTGTTTGAGTTTGTTTGTCCAGGGAAGGCTTTGCTTTCACATTCATCCACTCACACATGTCCATTTTACTGATCTGGGAGCTGCTGCTGGCCATTGAGCAGCTCCACTGGAACAACCACCTGGTGTAAAAGTGCCTTGCTGGAGGGCACTGTGACAGTGGTTACCAAGGGAGGACTGAGCATTCCTCAATCTCTTTACTTCCCCCCCCACTTTGTCCAGGGAATCAAACTTTTCCTCTTCCGCCCTCCATTCTGCAGTGACCGACCTCACACAAAAGCTCTATTTTTCATTTAATTCTTTCAAATGTCTCATTTTTGCTTGGATATTATGGGTTTTGACCCGAGCCATGGAGTTGTCTACATCTGCAGATATTTTTATATCAATAGTATTATTATTTTTTAATTTTTCAATTTTCCATTTTCTTGAGACAATCGACTCGTTGTGTCAGTGCTGCTTCAGTTACTCTTGTCAGTTCAGTGCCAGTTTTGGGATGTGACTGTAAAGCAAATGTTAGTGTCACCAAGGTATCAGCAGAGTAAGAGTGAGAGGTTTCAGGGTTTAAAGGGCCGCCCAGCACACCTGGATTGCGATTGGATGTTATTACCCAGCTGGTAGCCAAGCAGCCAATAAATGAGCCACTGACGATGAAGCGTGAATGATTCAGCTGATAATCTGCTGATGCAGACATGATTTTAGTGTTCTACTCAATCTAATGTTATATTGTGTTCATTTTGGGAGACAAAATTGTAATACGTTTTTAGTTTTTAGAGGTCCAAGAAGTTCTTTGCCTCCTTGAGCAGCTTGTCGTTGACACTAACAATTACTACACCATTAATACACACATTAATTAGAGTACTGAGTAATAAGTGATGAAGAAAACTAAATCCTCCTAAAAAGAACATTTTACTGGGATGCTGGTTTCAAATCTACAACAAAACAAAACAAAAAAAAACATTCCAGTTTCAGAAAATACATACATCAGTTTGGAGTTCAGTGTTTGTTACTCAAAGATAATTTGACATGTGGACAGGAGGAATGGTTAAACTGCCAATCCTGTGACATTATTGGCAACCCTCTCTACGAGGGGGTGAAGGTCAATGAGTCAATATCTGATCATAAACTAAGTATCTGAATATTGTTACTGCACACAGAGTTTGTCTCTCAGTGTTTCTAGTCTAATTTACTTTTTTCCACAATTTTATTCCCGACTCTTCTTCTCTTTTTTTAACCTTGCTAATGAGCAGATGGTGGCTGGATGATTTCCAGCCTGTGCAGGTTTACACTTCCTCTGCCAGCAGACCACCTCATGTGTGGTAGCAAAAATGCAAGAAAAAAGTCAAACAATTTATCCATTCAGGTCTGTTGCAGATTGCTTCCTGATCAGATGGTTAAAGTCACATTAAAGCGACGACAGGAGTAACTGAAGCTTTTGGGTGAAATCCTTCGTCAGGCAGAGACTGATGCTGGTCTGTTTATCACTGCAATGAAATGCCTCACTGGTATTGTTGCAGTCAATGGCTTCCTCAAAGAATATGGCCTCTGATTTTAAGCTATTAAAATGAAATACCTCTGAATGTACAACTGGCTGTCATATTATTTCTGTAGACTGAGAAGATGGATATCGGAAACCAGACACCAAGTTTTTTTCCTGTTAAGTATGATAGTGAAACACGTCATGAATTCATAAAAGTGTGGAATTATCCACAAAATAATGCTAGAGGTCGATGAGAAAAGTACGTTTTGTTATACTTTTGAGTGAACTTACTGCAACTTACAAATATGTTCATTATCGGTTAATCTGCTGATTATTTCTCAATTAATTGTTTTGTCTATAAAATGGCAGAAATTAGTGAAAAATGTCTGTTATGATCTCCCACAGCCCAAAATATTTACTACCATGTACGACACAGAAAACCATCAAAGTTTTACATTTGAAAGGATGGAACCAGCAAAAGTTTGGTATTTTTGCTGAATAATTACTAAATTGATCAAAGTCGTTGCTGATTAATTTTCTGTCAATCGACAAAATGACCAAGAAATGGTCGCGGCTCTAAGACAGCCTGTGTTGAAAAATTCTCTTTAAAACGGGTTTTTTTTTTTAAGATAATCAACCAACCGTCTGGCGTTGATGAATTCTTGTGACTTTTGGTAAGCTTTTGCAGAGATGGATTCATTGTTCAAGTTTCTTTGTATAAACCAGTGAAAGTCTTTTGTCAAAGTTTGCCTAGTGCTATCTGCTTTTTGTTTGAGGACAGAGCTCTTGACTTGTAACACTTAAACCAGTTAAACCAAACCAGTTATAACAGAAGATCAAAGATGACAGAGTCCTTCCCATCCAAGGTGCCTTTTGGTGTTTGAAGGTACTCCTCCAGCCTGTAGTTGCCTCTTTTTATTATACTGTATGTGTATGTTAATGTGCTCATGCAAAGCCTGCTGCTGCGTCAGCTTCAATTCACTTCCTGTCTGTGATACCTTGTGTGTTCGTCGTCGGATGCTCTTCGTGAAATTGAGGACGATGAGACTGAAAGAATCTCTGCACTTGAAGACTGCTGTCGACTCTCCCGTCCCCGACCTCTGAACTCTGAAGTCTCTGCAGTGATTTTTTAAAGACTGAGAGGTCAAAGGGGAATTTTTTGGGAGTCAGAGGAGCTTTCTAACATTCTCCATGGATGTTTAAATCAGAACTCAACTGCTGTGTCTCTCTGCTGTCGGATAGCCTCTGTTTATGTTTCCTTTGTATTAAGGATGCACTGACACTGTAACAGTCTTAAAGGATAATTCCAGTTTATTACAACTTGGGTCTCATTTTTGAAGTTTTGTTCATCATTCTTATCAGTAATATTAACATTGCATTCACCAGTTTAATGGCTAAAATCTGGGACAAGGCACCTCAGACCAAAACAATGGGGACAAGGCTGACCAGACTCCATTTACCTAGAAGAGTAGTCATAAGTAGAGTATTTCCAAAGTCTTTACATCAGCCATATATGCTTATTTGGACAAAATAAACCTGTAATTCACAGAGTTAGATAAGAAAATAGCTGGCTGCCATTTAAGGTTAGCTAATCCTTGAGAACAAATTTGCCTGTCAAAGTACGTCCACCAAAAGTGCAACAAACTGAGCCACTGACAGGCTCAGATTCTTATCTGAGCCTTAAATGTCTGACAACATTATGGAAAGGACCCCTACAGAGATAGACTTTTAGATAGATAAATGTGGTACTTTTACCTCGCATAACTTAACAACTTCATTCTGATTGGAAAGAAACAGAATAAAACCGTCTTTATTAGCGTTTCCAATCACAGACACAGGTTTGGTAGAATTAAATCCTTAATTCACCGACATAGATGTGAAAAACATCAGTTTCAGTCGCTCTCCTCAGTCGTACACAGGGAGAGACTGTATACCCTAACATGCACTTGCCGCCAGACTGGATTTGTAAACAAAGGCTGCGATAGCAACACAGGTAGTGAGTGTGACATCCCTCTCGCCATGACTCAACTATATATTTACATAGCAAATATATTTGTATATGTAACATAGCCATTTGCTGCTATATTAATGTTTTCAATCTCAATATATAACCTTTGAAGGCACTCAGAAATTGTTTAAATCAGATGATGGAGTCCATACATGAATATAAATTTTTTTGCCAAAGTTAGACCATAAAACACATTTCTGTAATTTGTTTCTGCTTCTCACTGATTTGACAGTCTCAGTTGGAAAAAGGTGTTATCACAAAATGGAAATGCGAGGACATTTGTGAGGTTGTTTGCTTATATTGTGTGTTAGTTGCTCCTCATTAGTCTGATTATAAGGCTAATGAGGAGACTAAATAAATACAATAAAAAATGCCAGGTTGACATGAATAACTGATATCTTAACAGGGAGGTGTATGCCAATGTTTCCATAACCCAATAAACACTTCCAGGTGCAGCTCTAAATTCAGATTATGGCAATTAGCGTTTCACTAATACATTATTTTGATTATTAATACAAAAGCTTAATCTACTTATTAAAAGAGCTTTATTTAATGTCTTTGCTTGTCGATTAAGGATCATGAGAAATAATGTATTTATCATTATCATTCACCCTGTTTTAATTAGGATGGCTGCCTCTAAATGAGGAGGTAGTGATACAAATATTATGCTCCCACAGTTCATCTCCTGTTCGTTTATTTTTAATAATGTCAGTTATTGTAGTTAGTAATTTGGTGAGTGCAATGTTATTATTAGTGAAAGAAATGAGGAATGGTAAAAAAAAATCTGAATTATCCTTTAAAGTAAAAACTGTTTAAATTGGTAGAAATTAGAATAGAAAAAAAATTACTAAAAGTCTATATTCATGTGTCAATATTTTTAGCAAAAGGGTTATTTTTTTGTTTTTTGAACATGATCTTGAATCTCTGTAACAGACCTTTTGTTGTTGTTTTTATTTTTTATTTTTTTGTGGGAAATGTTCCAAACTGATCGTCCAGCTCTGCTTCAGTGTCACCTGATAACTTGAATATCAGTGAAACCAAGAGAAAAAGTTGTGTTGGTGCATCTTCCGTGTGTTTCGGTACTTTCCTATATACAAATCCTATTTTATTTAATTGTTGTTTATTTTTTAGTTTAGCAATAATGTTTTATACATTTCAAATTAATTTGAACTGCTGAGAGCTTAGAGCTGTGTATGTGTGTGTGTGTGTGTGTGTGTGTGTGTGTGTGTGTGTGTGTGTGTGTGTGTGTGTGTGTGTGTGTGTGTGTGTGTGTGTGCGTGTATTTGTGTGTGTGAGAGTGTGAGAGTGTATGTGTGCGAGTTGGCATCATGTTTATCTGAGCCTGGCTTGTAAACGATGTGAGAACAGAGAGCCTCTCCTCTGTTTTGTACCATAAACCATTTTCTTTACTCTCTGTGGTTTTGTACTTCTATCTTTGTGAGGACCGATTTGAGTTTTCGAGGTCTTGGACAGTTTGGACATACTCTGTCTGGGCTCTTAGAAGGCTAAGAGTTGGTATTAGGGCTACAAACTAAAGGAGCCTTGGAGCCTCCTCAGTGCCCATTTTCTGTTGCAAATCTTTCATGGAAGCAGCCAGGGAGCCAGCTAGCATTGTAGGAAGAAGATGTCCCCATTCTTAATCCCACATCCAAAGGTCTGATTGGTTGTTTCTCTGATTGTTTGGCACAAACAGCGACTGAGAGGACTAGAGCTGGGCTACCTCCATTGTAGAGATTTGGGAAACAGCATTGATTACAGCAAGGAGCGTGAGCCTCCTACACCATGAAATAAAAAAACCCTCACAGGAATCATCTCAAATATTTCTCTTTGAACACAAAAACTGGTTTCCAGTTGCAAATATTTTGCATAATTCATTAAAAAAATACAAAAACAACTAAATAAAATTGCTAGTTTTGGTCTGTTATAGTAGGTGAAAACTACAATGGTCAAATTTGTGAAAAAGTTGCAGTGATTGCACAAAATTGCAAAGGGACTGAAGAATGGTAGAAAAATATGAGAATAGTACCCATACTAACCCTTTTATGGTTAGGGTCATTATATCGGTAAGGGTCCTCACAAATATAGATGTACAAACCTAAACATTGTCTTCTTTTTCTGAGTGATTCTACAATATAGATGCTACATATTTCAAAAACACTGAGATTTCAATTACCTGAGAAGAATCAAAAAGGTTTGACAACATTTTAAGTAATGGAAAGGAATCTGTTGGTTGTGGTACATCCAGCGCTGACAAGCAGAATCACTCTGAATTAAAGTGGTTTAATCTATCTACATGAGTGGATGAGAATACTTGTCATGTGTTGAACTTGTGTAAAATCTTCATGTCTGCTTGTATTTGTTCATGACGCGGTTCAAGGATTCAGGGAGTTCAGCTCTGAATGTGTCCAGTTTTGTTTAACTTTGTTTTTATTCTCTCTTGTTAATAGACCATTCATTAATCCTAAGAGCCTTACACTGGGGAAACAGCCTCTATTAATAAACAGACTGCTTTCATTCATTTTCAGTCCACTTAATTCAAAATGTGAATTGCCTCTGCCTCTGTTCCTTTCTTTTAAATTCGATTGATTATGAAAGCTGTTTTCAAGGTAACATCCACCCTGATGTGCTTTTATAAAAGGGAGATGTAAAATGTATTGTGATGTGATATTATTGGATGGCATTTACATAACATTTTATACACATTTCATGTGTATGTCTACACATTTTAAGATTTGGACTTGCAGGAAAGGAAAAAATCAAGTGAGCGTGAAATTGTCGCAGTTTGGTTCGGTTTAGGCACCAAAACTATTTAAGTAGGTTTAAGAAAAACATGGTTTGGATTAAAAAAGGTATTACATCACTTGAAGTGTGTAGGATTCTGTCGCATCTGGTGGTGTAGTTCACCCTCCACTTCTAAGTGCAAGGAGACACTGGTTGCCGTGAAACTCCCCTATCTAGATTTGGTTTCTCACTTATGAGGTACTGTAGACTCTGTTGATGGCGACTGTATCTACAGATAAAAACAGGGTCCTTCTGAGGTAACAAAAATGTAAAGATTCCTATATTCAGCTGATTATATAACGAAAACATACCTGAACATTAACATCGATATTCTATTCCTGACCTTTACATTATGTATACAAGTTAAGTCGCCTTACGTACGTCATGTCTGGTTTCACACTATACACCGAACAATTCAATTCAATTCAATTTTATTTGTATAGCGCCAATTCATAACAGAAGTTATCTCAGGACACTTTTCAAATAGAGCAGGTCTAGACCGAACTCTTTAACATTAATTACAGAGACCCAACAGTACCACCATGAGCAAGCACTTGGCGACAAGGGCAAGGAAAAACTGCCTGTTAAAAGGCAGAAACCTAGGACAGATCCTCCGGCTCTAGGTGGGTGGTCGTCTGTCTCGACCAGTTGGGGTGAGAGAGAGAGAGAGAGAGAGAGAGACACAGACAGACAGACAGGTGCACAGCAACAACAGTATTGGCAATGGCAGTCAAGCAGGACCATGGCAGGAGGCTCCACCAGGATCCATGAGAACCTGCGAGACGAGAAAGCACAAGAACTCCGGGGAAGAAGTGGAGTTAGTAACATGCATTAATGGGACATGAATGAGTGCAGAAAGAGAGAGGAAGAGAGTAGTTCAGTGCACCATGGGAAATCCCCCGATAGTCTAGGCCTATAGCAGCATAACTAAGGGATGGTTCAGGACTCACCTGATCCAGCCCTAACTATAAGCTTTATCAAAGAGGAACGTCTTAAGCCTACTCTTGAACAGTGGTCTCCTGGGTGAAAGTCCAACCACCCCAACCTCTTCCACGTGTGGACACTTTTTTTCTGATTTGACCCGATGATGGCACTAAATGGAAAGTGTTAAATAGGGATAATAAATACAGGAAATCAAAATTCATATATAGTGTTTAAAGTTTAAAGTTAGCGTGATGAAAACTTGCCTATTTAAACATTCAGCAGACACACAGCAACATCAGCATTCAACGGGAGTCATGCTTGTTGCCACTTGACAAAACTAAGTTCAATATCTAGTCTATGAGACGTTTAAATGCTGCATAGAGCTGGCGGTGAACTGCAGTTTCTCTGTAGGTTCATCACTTTGAGTGACACATTTCACATTAGTCACTTTGAGTGCTTATTTAATATTATTGCTTATTTTATTCATGTGTCCAGGGCTAGGCTTTAGAAAAAGTGTAAAAGCGGGTCACAATGTGCAGATCAACATGCTGAGAATCACAAATCAAAACAAAATGGCTCTTTAATGGTACTTGAGCAGGCAGCTGGGATGCCTGATATGGAGTTTTGATTGGTGGTTACATCAGAGGTGATGTAACCTGTATCCTCTGCTGTTGGATACAGCCTTCAATCTTAGTTGTCAGCGGTACAAACACATTTGAGGGAGGGTTTTTATATTTTTATATTTATTAACATTTTAACAGTATTGTCATTATTCTTCAATATCTGGCTCTTTTTCGTCAGCTCTTTTATATTACCTCCATGGTAACATGCTTATTATTAAAAACAAAACTATTACCCAACAAGCATGGTTATGATGTTCATATTTGATACTGTTGTGAAATGGGAGGATCTGCTGGTTCCAGAGGTATTTTTCTCATTCTTAAGATTTCAGGGCAGAGCCTAGAACTGCCCCTGCTGACATCTAAACAGCCATGCAAATCAGAGCTTTGTTGCAACAAATCATTTAGTCCAGTAGACAGGCTGTACAGGCCAGAGTCAGGTATTTATCCTAGCTGTTATTTATCAGACAGTCCCATTAGTTAACAGCTTCATTTAGCTGCAGAGGTGTCAGATGATGAATGCCTTTGTAGTCTTATCCGTAAATTTGTGTGAAAGCACATCTGACACAATCAATAAGAAAAATATGATGAATCCAAACTATTTTCCTCTCATGTATGTTCAGGCTGGCTTTATAATCTAATACAATTTAGTTTGTTTGAGAATAACTCGACAAATTCACTAGAAATCAAGAATACAGTCTCTGAAAAAACAACTTTCTGGGGGAATATCACCAGATACCCTGGTTAGGTTTGGTCTTCCAATTTAAGCTATGATGTCTTGAGGCTGGCAAGTATGCTAATCAACCACTTATTCATCATTGACCATGATTATTGACTTGACTTGATTATGATTATGACCCCGACCCCTGCAGTGGGTAATGTCACATAAGGTCTATTCCTAAAATGCACCTACTTCACAGATTGAAAAGTTGGCAGCCCCGCTAACCTCGTGATTCATACATGTGATTTACCTTCTATGACGTCCGTAGTGCATTACAAAAAAAAACCTGATCCCTGCCCCGCTGTACAACTAGTTCAAATACGAACATCTTGTCCTTTGGAAATAATGGCTGTGGATGATTTTTGATTGAGCAGTGGTGGTTTTCCAGTCAGGACAAGGAGTCTCTGTTCAGGCACAGTCTCACACCAGGTGAATAAAATGAATCGTCATTATCTGATTTGATAGAGAGCAGAATAGAGACCCTGTGGGGTCGCTTTGCACTGTGAGCCACTGAAGACATGTGACAGTGTGAATTAAAATTTTAAAAAAGGAGTCATTTTTTTTATTTCAGTGTGATTTCAGTCAGACTTCAGTGAGCTCATCTGTGTTTTTGGTCCAAGATCCTATTGCCTTCATAAAGGTGTAATTCCTTTCTTTGTTTTTCTCCCTTATCTGTTATTAGCCATTTATTTTCCTGTATAGTCTCCCTGATCTACCCATCGAACAGTCTGTTGTTTTCTCTCTAAACTACTCATCTTTCTTCTTCACACCTCTTTTCATCCATTCCAAACAACAAAAATGTCACAGTTAATGTCACTGCGACAGCCTGCGCCAACACTGAAAAGCTGTGTAAATCTAAAGCCAATATTATTAAAGGCTTTTCATCACAGCTACATTACATCCATGATGTTGTGATTTTTAGTTCAAACAATCCTAATTCTTCTGTAATCTCTATATACATGTATTCTTTTAGGCCTTGGTCTTTTTGCTTCATCACAAAACAAATCAAAACCAGTTTTCAAGCTTCAAAAAGGTCAACATTGTCACATTAATTCCCCCACCTGCTGCTTTATAAATTTTACTACTAAATGACATTTAGACCCCCCCTGTTGTTAGGCTTTGGATTCTTGCACGATACATAAGCAGTTTACAATGGGAACTGGCAGATTTATCACTCAGAATTCACAGTAATGTTTGCACAATGGGTCCATTATTTCAGAAAGCAGATGACAGCAGCTTTTCAATTTAATGTTGAATTGGTGAAAAAACTGTCACTGGCAAATGTCATCAGCTGTAGTTAGCTAGCAAATAACCTAAACCAACAATGTTTCCAACAATTTTCAAAGGAAAGTAAAGTCTGCGCGGACATGATATATATTTTTTGAAGGTTTTTGTACAGACTGTGAAACTGTGAATAGAGAGGATCTTTTGTTGCCAGGTGACAGATTTAGCGACACTGACCAGGAACTCAGCTGACTTGAAAACTCTTCATAAAGGGTCTCAAACCTGCACTTTATGACAACATGATTAAATGTAATTAAATCTAACATAAGGAGCTTTTTTCCCTTTATTAGATAGGACAGCTGAAGACAGCAAGGAGAGCAGAGAGAGAGGGGATGACACGCAGCAAAGGGCCACCGGTTCGATTGGAACCCATGGCTGTACATGGCCTCTGTACATTGGGCTCCATCTCCCCCAACAAGCTACCTGGGTGCCCTGTAATTTTAATAAGCCGACATCCGATAGAGCTGCTAACATAGTAGCATCCTGTACCAGCTTTCACACAGTGGATGTCGTCCCGAACATGGCTGGTCAAGACTTGTAACACCACATAATAATGTAGTTAGTTAATGATATGCTAATCCTTGGCCTCTTAAGTACAACAACAACATTTTCATCAGCTGGCTTCAATAAATGAGGGTGTGGTTAAGACCAGACAGGAAACATTAAAGGCTGATAGAATAAAGAAAAAGGTTAACAAGACATGTCCGTGTGTTAACATCTCCCCATACATCCTCCATCTTCCCCTGTGTTACCACGGCAACTCAAAGTCAGGAAGGATTTAAATGAAACGAATAAACTGTAGGAAGACACACGCCCACGCATGTGTGCTTTCGCCCACTCAAACCCATGAAAGTACATACTCAGGGCTCGTATTCAGTGCTGCTTATTGATTTTGTGATGAAATCCCTGCTGCGCTGTTGTGTTCGGAGGACGAATCATCAGCGTAAACAGGTGAGGATGCAGATGATTGCTCGCTGATTTCATAATTACATCCACTTCTTTCTTGAAGTACAGATACAAGAAGAGAAGGAGAAGGAGAGTGGCTGAAGAGGCTCTGCAATCAGGACATGAGCTGTGTAAAGTGCGCTGAAACACATCTAACATTATAATTGAATGTCGTGACATTCCAATCCACTCGATTCTGGGAATAGCATACCATAACAAAGTATAGATATACTGGTATTATATGAATATAGGTATATTAAACATAC